TTATATATATATATATATATATATATATATATATATATATATATATATATATATATATATATTTGCTCCTTTTGTTTAAAAAGATAAATAGCGCGCGCGCAGCACACATCTGTAGTATCTAATAAATAAAATTTAGCATTCTTAAAATTAAAAATAAAAACTAAATGTACTAATTTCACTTTCCAATACGACACATGCTTGATTGCTTCTAAAGTATAAGAAGCAATCAAATATTATGATATTCATCAAAAATTCCCGTTAGGCCTAAGCTAATAGAATAATTATGTGACAAATATTTGTACAAATATTCGTTTGTAGCAGCACAACAATTGGCAAAAATGTGTTTTTATTGATTATTTACTACACAACAAAATAAAATTTGAAAAAAATATAAAAGTTTTACAATTCACAGATAATAATATCGTTATTCGTATTATTATAATATATCCTATTTGTCTTCCTATTAATTAATTCCTATTTTAATTCTTACAATTAAACAAATTCTAATGATAAATCTCGTTAATTATAGCAGACTTCTATATGATATCATTTTTATTGTATTTTTAAGAACTCATCAATTTATAGAGGTTCTCTATTATCCTCGCCAATTTTAATCAGCGGTTCTCTTTCCTTTATACGTATATTTTACATTTTCTTACATTTATATTTATTACTTTTTATATAATATTTTTTATATAATAATTTAAAACTAAAGAAATACAATAGGTGAAATATAAGAGTGCATAACCAAATAAAATATATTTTATGTAAATATATTTTATTTAATTGTAACAATAACATATAACAAAATAAAATTTGAAAAAAATATAAAAGTTTTACAATTCACAGATAATAATATCGTTATTCGTATTATTATAATATATCCTATTTGTCTTCCTATTAATTAATTCCTATTTTAATTCTTACAATTAAACAAATCATTACAATAAACCAAGAATATAATTCAAACAACAAAAGTAATAGATAGCATTTTTATATATAGCTTGAATTTTGATATAAATTAAAGAAAAAAAATTATTGAGAGTTCAAATAATTCCTAATCTAAATTATTAAAATAACGAATAATGCTATTTATTATATTTTGTGACATTTATGAAATTTATGAAATAAATAGAAAAGAAATAAACAATTATAGAATATACATAAAATTATTTTAATTATTTTATAAGCTTCTATTCTGAATTCTATAAATTGCTCTTGGTATATAAATATTATAAAATGCATCGACATTGACCCTATAATTAAATTAAATTTTATATATCAATTGTAGCCGAAGAATACGCCGAGATGATCACTGAAAATGATTTACTTTTTACAGGAGTTCGACACATCGTGTAATACTTACAATTTTCTTGCTTGTAACATGCCTACATCGAAAATCAATACTACTGAAAGTCAATACTTTTAAATGATTTTGCCACCTTGTAAACGCCTTGTGTCAGTTAGGTATTATTTGTATTATCATCGAATATTTTGTCGTAGCCACACTGTATTAACGACTTGTATATGTAAAATAAATTTATAATATAGATCAAGTTAAAGACGTCATGTTTATTTGTGCAACATATATATGCAAGTTTTCAAATTATCACTATCTGCCAACTCAGTAAATCAGGAATGTAAATGCTATATAACATAGATGTAAATGTACATGTTTTTACATCTATGTTATATAGCAATTACATCATGATTTGCTGGGAATGTATCGTTATCACAAAGTTTTTAAATATTGTTCATTGATTTGTCCATGATAGATTATTTCTTTCTTAGAAATAATCTAAAAAAAGTTTTTTACGATTTCATTTATACGTAACAACGTATATTTTAACAACGTATATTTTAATATTTACGAATTGTGTCATTATATTTTATACAAAAATTATAAAATTCGTATATTTTGTCCTCAAATTTTACATAATAAAAGACACATAATAAGAAAATACATAACACAAAATTTTTACGTGCTTTTTGAGAAAATTCATGCATTACCTTTAGAAATCTTCTTTATCATCTACCTTTTGATGTTAATACGAAAACGCAATCTTTTCTTTTAAATAAAAATTTCTAAAGCAAAAAGTTTAAATATTCTATAGATCAGTTAGATTCACTAATATAGAAACTAATAAAAAATCTAATTAATTTTATATTAATAAAAAGACACAATAAATAATACCTTTAGACAGTGAAATATAAGATTATCTAAATTTAAAAATTTAGATTTACACCGTAAATCACCTATATATTTTCAGATATGATACATGTAGTACAGTTTATATATAATCCATAAACGCATAAACTTATAATGCTTATAATACATATAACTAACTTTTTCTTTCAGTTTTGTAATATCTTCATCTTTTATGTTCTAAGGATCTATATTCCCTTTAATATCTGTATGCGTTTTAATGAACAAATTTGGAACAAATTTTAAACGAAGCGGATAAGTGGGACGAATTAGGATATCACCCTTAAGCTGAATGTCCTTTAAATACTCTACGGGCTCCAAATAGAAATTGTATATCAGAGGAGCTAACATAGCCTTCAGTTGCAACAAAGCAAAACCGTTGTCCTACTATTGTTTTAAATATATATATATATATATATATATATATATATATATAAATCTAATTTCTATAAAAAAAATATTAAAAAAAGATATTAAAGGATAATTTACCGATGCAGTTCCGTGGTCCAGCACTAAATGGTAAATATGAATATGGATGCTGATTTTGAATATTCTCGGGTAAAAATCTGTCTGGATCAAATATCTCCGGATTTGGCCAATAATTTGGATCTCTGTGGACTCCATGAATGTTAATAAGTAAAGCTGTTCCAGCTGGTACTAAATATGATTCTAAAAATTGTGTTACAAAATTATTTTCAATTTACAAATAAATATGACATTTTGTTATATAAAATATAAAAAAATAAATATTTATCTAACGCAATGCGGGATAAATAACTATAATTTTAATAATAAAATTATATTTCTATTGAAGATAAAATAATTATAATAATTATTAAGATTTATTAAAAAATACGGTATTTTAAGGCTTTATGTTCAGTTAATCTAAAATTTTTTAAAATTTTGTAATGTACTTAAAGGTATAAATATATTATCCTATTATCTTATCCTATTCTATCCTATCCTCCTATCTAAAAAAAACTGTGTTAAATCGAATCGAATTTATTGTTGCTTTTTTTCCACGATGCCAATTGGTTCTTTTGATCTCGATATGTATGCAAACGAATGTCATTGTGCATTGACAGTTAGACTTATCGATTTATTGAGAGAGATTATTATTTAATGAATGATTTATAAAAAAAAATTTGTAATAAGAATTTATTACAACAGGGTTGTACCATACATCCCTTCTAAAAACTATAAAATTAAATAAATGGCGCGTGTGTAGCGCGTCTGTATTGTTCTAGTATATAAAATTATATAAAATTGATTAGATACATACGTAATTTTACGTCTTTAGAAGTTATTCGGGATATAACATAGGCGACAGGATACAAGCGCAATGTTTCTTTTATACATCTTTCTAAATACGATAAATTGTGCAATGATTGCATAATAAGTTTCCCTCCATCTTTATGTATCGCAGCATTGATTTCTACTCTGACACGATCCTATATTATTAAAATTAATTAATGTATTTTAAAAAAGTTGTTATTAATTTCTTCTCCAAATACATAAATACGTTCATAGACTATAAAAATATAAAAACAGTTTAAAAAAATATATCTTTTACATATATAAATTAATAAAAATTATTATATATATGTAGTAAATATTATACACACGTACATATATACGTATAATACACATAAGAAGATTTACTATATTCAAAAAAAATTTATCAGTTTTATCAATTTAGTTATTATTTCATGAAATAATAAGTAACTCGATAAAATTAATAAATTTTTCTTTTAATCATGATACTTATTAAACAAAAATTACCTGAACATCTTTGTGCTCAGCCAATAGCAGTAAAACATAGCTCATTGTCATCGATGTAGTATCAGTACCCTATAATTATCATTACATACATCTTTATATGTCTGGATAGAAAAAAACTTTTAAAATACATACGGCAATCATAATAGTGTTGATTTCTTCTTGAATATCTGAATCAGTTAAATAATTTTCTCGAGATGCTGCTATTAACATGTCCATCATAGCTAATCGCTTCTTTTTAACTAAATTAAAACATAAGATATATCAATCTTATAATAAAAATATTTGTATTATTGTAAGCATATTGTTTATTATTAATATAATAAAATTTTATTTCTCTCACCGGTAAACAATTGATTTAAAATTAAATTATTAATATAGAATTAACTTAATTTATAATATGTTATTTAATACTTAAATGTAATTATTTAATTATCAGTTAGAAAAACAGATAAAAAATAGATAAAAAAACAGATTTATAATATAAATCAAATTAATAAAATATAATATAAATATATATTATATAAATATAATATTTAAGAAATATAATATAAGAAATATAATATAAGAAATATAATATTTAAGAAATATAATATTTAATTATGCAACATACTTGTAATAGTTTCGGAATCATCTTTTTCTGCCAATGTATTTTTGTCTGTTTTGTCTGTTTTGTCTGAAGTTTTCAAATATCGCCCGTTGGTTCGTTCGTGATAAAGTTTCCTTTCTGATATTAGCTAAACAATATCAGTTTCTTTATGATTTTATTAATGTATTAAGAACTTGTTTTTCAATACTTAATAAATTATATTATTACTTTTTACAAAAAAATTATAAAATTTTATTTTTTCCTATAATTTTACATAATAAAACACTTAAAAAATGTGTAACAAAAAATTTTTACGTACCTTTTGAGTAAATGCATTCATCATCTTTATAAGCATTTTTTGATGTCTACCTTTTGATGTTAATGAGAAGATCCAATCGTTATATAACCATAATCTCATTACTCTAAATCGCAATTAATTTAGAATTATTATTGTAAGAATTACATATTGATATATTGATATATGATTACATATTGATATATGTCATTATTTATATGAAGTAGTTATATTGAATATAAAAATTAGCAGTTTGAATATTATCTAATCCAATCATTTATTTTTAAAATAAAATCTTTAAAATTTTGAAATATTGAAATATGTTACTAGGATATTATGATAAAATGTAAATCTACATCTAAATTAAAGATATATCATTTTTAAGGTCTTATGAACTAATTTCTTGTCTTCTTGAAATTATATATGTACATATGTACATA